TTTATAGTGGCCTTTAATGGGCTTCACTGATGTGCGTGCGTGAGAGAGAGTGTATTGTACTAATGTTTATGATTATGACAGAGTTATAAAGGAAAATATTCTCCTTGACAGCCCCTTTTATCCAGAAAAGCTTTTGTTGCCATGGAAACACATTTTTGTAGCTCAGAGCGCAATGATTGATATTTTTTAGTGATGAACAAAACAAAAAAAATATCAAAATTATCTCTGATAGAAAAAAAATGCTTTGTAAACTGCCACTAGACACTATTGCAGGTTCAAAATATTTGTTTGTTATGTGTTTTCCAATAAATGGGAATCAATATTTTAGCGCAGATATTACCTGCCTCTGACAAATGGATGGAAGGGGCAAAAGCGACAGGTAAACAGGTCCATTATGAATATAATGGAATCAAATAACAAACATGATTCATTCTCATTTAAAGAAAAAAAAAAAGGAGTGACAATATTTACCCCTCCCTTCGGCATTCAGGGTTGAATCTAATGTGTAGGCTATTCGATGAAATCTATTCCATTTCCGTGTGGCTAACGCTGTTCAGCTAGCAGAAATACCTCTGAAAACATGCCAGTGCCCAATCTACCCATTCAGTTTTGAACAGGCCTCCTATCAATTATAAAATGTCAGCGCATAAATTCTCCCTGATTTAAAAAAAACATGAGTGGAAGGCCATCTGATTGACTTCGCTCTGCTCCTAACAAGAAGCAATTTGTACTCCGCTGTTTCCCCCAGTGAATAGATTGCATGTGGAGAGAGCAAATCCGATTACTCCGAGTCTGTGTGTGTAATTTGAGTACGGGCCTGGATGTGATTCTTTCTATTGGGTTCAATTTTATTTATTTATTTATTTCGGCTAAATATATTAGTAATGTGTCGTGCCTCTCTGCATTCCCAACAGATGAATTGGAGTAACATCTTTTTCCATGTTATACAAACTACAAATAATAATAACAATTAATATATTTATTAATACAGACATTAATATAATATACAGTATATAATTCATTGCAAATAATGTGTATGCAATTAATATGTGTATTTGTGTATGTGTACAGCTATAAATAATGTATGCCATAATTAATTGTTAACAAACTTAATAAATAAACTAAGCATTTACAAGCAAGTTAATTACATATTAAAGGGGTCATGATGTTGCTAAAAAGAACATTATTTTGTGTATTTGGTGTAATGAAATGTGTTTATGCTAGCATCTTATGACCCCTTTAACAGATTAGGTTACATGATGTTTGTTTCCATGAATTTGGTGTTTAAGTAATAGCAGCACTATAACAAGAACCCTTAACATTTGCCCTTTTTAAGCTTTAAGTTATGATATCAGAAATATTTTTGTATAAACAAGTTCAAAATCTTTTTAATATCGGAGCTTTGGTTAGCCATGACCTTCGCTCAGGTACGGCGCGCGCATTCAGCTCACGCCCGCAGAGCGCGCTCGTGTCAGGAGTTCTGCAGCGCGAGAGCAGCGTCTCGGTAATTATTAGTCACTGTTAATATTCATTTAACGGACAGCGGCTGTAATTATAAACTCGTGTTCCGTCTTATTAGCAGCTAATTTGTAGTTTACGCAGCGCCTATTGATGATACGCATGGGTTTGTTGAGAGAGTTAAAGCTCGGCTGTTTTTAGAAGAGGTTTTCCTTCAGCTCATGTCAGATACTCAAAGGTTGCAAGAGATTGCTGCAGACCTAATAACAACACACAAAAGGGATTTAAGGAATTATCTTATGGTAGTTTTAGGCACATGTTAATGGATAATTACTAATTTTGCTCTTGAAAACCTAAGGAGAATCTCTGAAGAATCTTCATGTAACTTGTACAGTATTTCACATATAGCAGCACTATGCCATATGTAACAATAATGTTACCAAAACAGGACAAAGAAAACTTAAATGTTATCGTTTGTTTATTAAATGTTCGATTTCCACATTTACCATCTCCATTATTAAATGGCTATCTTCGTTTCAGTAGCCTATATAAAATGAACAATTCCCATTTGCTATATATTGCATAGATATTTGGCGCTGGATGGAGTACTTACAGCTGAGATAGTGCTGCATTACTGATAAAAGATTTATTAAATTGTGATAATAAAAGCCATTATATTGCTATTACACCCACATTAAAACAAGCCACATCATTAACTTTGATTAGACTGCAGTGGAGTTTGTGCTCTAACATAGCCATGGAAGCAAATTGCGAGTAATTACTGCATTAAAAAGCTGGTTAGAAGACAGTTTTAACTTAATTTGTGATTTTTTTTTAGCTGGTCATTTGCCTGGCAAATCCCACAGGTCAGATTCTGGCTGAACCCAGTCTTCTCCCATGATGCTTTGCAGAGTGAAGTCTTGAAAATACTCAAGTCGATGACTGTTCGGATGAGAGAAGAAATGTTAAGATCCTGGTGATGTTAAGACCCATTAAAAGGAAACAAATAATTTTAAGATACCTAAACTTACAAGTCTGGTCCCTGTCCTTCTACTAGATCTTCTCTAGGAACAGGATACAGAGCCTCATAGGTCCTTCCAGCTCCAGAGCCATGGATGGCATAGAAATTCATCTTATTAATGCCCTGAGGGAAATACCTCCAAGGTAGAAGTGCTTCTCCCTTCCATGTCTTGTTCTTTATATTGGCTTTGAATGATAGAGGGAGTTGTTGCTGTAACAGGTTATAGCATAAACATTATTACAAAATAATAAGCTAATGGTCAAGATTAGCATAAGAACATTTCATATCACCGCATTTTTTATCTCCTGTACTATTACATTAAACATTCCTGCATTTTAATGTTTAGACAATTGCTGTTATAAACTGTACTTGATCAAATGTGACAGTAAAGGCACTGTTAAATGTATTACGATTTCAGAAATTACAGAAATATTAAGCAGCACAACTGTCTTCAACATCTATAATAATGATCAATGTTTCTTGACCACCAAATCAGCAAATTAATTGACTGAAAATGATTTCTAAAGGATCGTGTGACACTGAAGACATTTACATTTACATTTAGCAGACGCTTTTATCCAAAGCGACTTACAAATGAGGACAATAAAAGCAGTCAAAACTAACAAAAGAGCAACAATATATACCGGTAAGTGTAAATGACAAGTCTCGGTTAGCCTAACGCAGTACACGTAGCAAGGTGTATATATATATATATATTGGGTACGGAAAGTATTCAGACCCCCTTAAATTTTTCACTCTTTGTTATATTGCAGCCATTTGCTAAAATCATTTGTTAATTTTTTTTCCTCATTAATGTACACACAGCACCTCCACCAGGAGGGAACAGTTAATGAAAAAGTCAGTGAAAGTGATTTTGTGCCTCTTTGAGATGGCACAATAATGCGTCGTTCACTTGCAGAATGCAAGCTTCTAGAGGGCACATAACTCTGAAGTAATGAATTTAGGTAAATGGGTGCAGAGCCAGTGGTGGTTTTGTAGGCAAACATTAATGCTTTGAATTTAATACGAGTAGCTACTGGTAGCCAGTGCAAATTGATGAACAGAGGTGTGACATGCGTTCTTTTCGGCTCATTAAAGATTCATCTTGCAAGACTGGAGTAATGGCTGCTGGAGTAATTCAGCTTTACTGTCACAGGAATACATTACATTTTAAAATATTCAAATATAAAAGTTATTTTAAACTGTCATAATATTTGATAGTTTTTACTGTATTTTTTACTGAAAACATTAATAAACTGATGTACAATGTGTGTTTTCTTACCGTAAACGCATTATGTTTTCCATTCAATAGCAGAATAAGATGTTGTCCATGACTGTAATATCAAAATATTATTTCAATTACACGTTAGCAATGAAAAATCTTCCTGCTGTCTTATAAACACTGTAGGCTTAACTTACGGGCAGACTTCCACCTCCAGATACTGCTCAGTGTTGCTGTTCAGGAAGAATGACTCCACCACTGAAAAATTAGTCAAAGAGCACAAATTGTAAAAATTGTCCGTTGGAAATTCACAGAAAATCAGTGAAAGGTAAACATTTATTTAGTGTTTCATTAACTTTCTCCTTATTAACTTCAGTTTAATTCAAGTGTGCACCAAAATTAAATCTAGTCCAAGGATCAACATGATCAGCTGATTGCATTAATTCTTTATCTAGTCATCTGAAAGTAAGAAACTCAATCTATAAACCAAAACTGACCAATTGGCCCTTTATTAAAAGTACAGATGAATTTACCCTCATAGTCCCAGAGACCAGGGAACGGCTCTCCAGGTTTTCCGACTGGTGCAGGGGGGTCATTAAAGAATGGAGCAGTCACCTGCATTAACAAACCATCCTCGCCAGGTGAGAAGCGAATCTTTATCGGCTTATGACCCACAGGTAAGCTGTCCCATGTATGTTTGACGTGGAACTCCATGACTGTCAGGAGGATACAACCAACGCAGACACTGTTAAGCATGGTAAAATATTATTTTCTTCTTTCAAGACCTGAAATAATAATAAATTACTATCTGGTTAAGTTCTCAAACATATTCTTGTTATATGTCTGTTTATATAAAGTCTATATATCCACAGTTCTGTGCTCTAATACGTCTTAAGCAGCTCAGGATACAGGACTGTCTTGATATGAAATAAAGTTCAACAGTCATCACTGATAAGCCATCAATATCTTATCTGATATCATAAACTTAACACCTGGTGTTTTGTTGGAAGAACACTTCCTGATTTCACACACACAACAACTAAGAATCCCAGATAAGTTTCAGCAGTCAGCCACATAGTCCGTATTAAATAAAATAACAAATAAAAAATAGTGAAGTAAAGTCTTACCCTATTCGATCACATTGAGGGTCCTCATCTTGATAGTTCCTCAATTCAAGAACCATGAAAAAACAGGAACTCCATAAGACGCACGGAACGCAAGCGGGTTGAAATTTCCTGGGAACATTTTAATAAGTTGCACCGCGTTCCTGAGGATGAATCTGATTGGCTCTGAGGTTGAATCCGAGCGTCCGTGAACATGAATCTGATTGGCTGGGAGGATCTTTAAACTACAAGGCGGAAGGATTTGGAGGTACCTATCCTTATAACGTTACATTTATTTACGTATTTCTGCTATTTTGTCATATCTTATGTTACGCGGTGGAAAAACAAACATTTATAATTCACTTAAATTTTCTGACAGCGTGTACAGCACGTTTATAATGAATGTTTAAATATATGTAGCCGTTAGCCTGCTAGTTAGCCAATGCAAATCTCCACCTAGATACCAAATAAAGCTTAATGCTGTTGCTGGGATTACACACCAGATTCGCTTCTTTTTCATTTAATCTATTGAAGAATATGTCATTTCGTAATAATCCACTTTAATAATGTACGTTTACTCGATTAGACCAAAATGATAAATGATATGGTTCTATAGAGTCAGTTAATTCAATGGTAAACTAATATCCCTACACAAAGACAGTCTCCAGGGATCATTTGTGCTGGCTGTGTATACTGACTGCTTCAGTAAAGCAAATTGTTCCCCGCTGCATACTACCTACCTACCGACCCACATACTAAATGTTATTATAGTTATGTTGATGATACATTTTTGCAAAGTATATGCTTTGCAGATACGTGTGACCTAACAAAGTTTTTTGCTGCTGCAGATGCAAAAATGACAACAGAAGTCGAGTTTCTTCGAGATCAAGGTGAATTACGCTAGTTCTCAGAAATTATGTTGTACAGATACATGATCAGTTTTACAATCATGCATTATATTCATGGGCACTTGAACTTTGTTTTTGTGTCTTATCAGTGAATCGTTTAAACTCCGTCCTGGGTCGATATCAGGATGAATTTCCTCCTCCCTCCTCAGTGTCACAGGTTAGATTTATGATTAAATGGCAGTTTTATTTGTTGAATTATGTAGAAGATTACCTCTAGATAATGGCATTGTGCTCCTGTGGTTCATAATGAATGTTTTGTTAAGTAAAAATAGAAGAGTTCATAGCTAAATAAATACAAATTCTGTTGTCATATCACCCTCACGTTGTTCCAAACCTGTATGACTTAAAGGGGTCATATGATGCTTTTTTAAAGATCATTATTTTGTGTATTTGGTGTAACAGAATATGTTGACATCCAGCCACTGATTTATTATCAGAGTCAGTCAGTGCTAACAGCTTCTGCACCGCTAGATGAGGTGGCTTTGGTAATCACAGCCTACCCTTCATGTAAATTCACTTTATTTGTGGGAGAAAGTTTCGTGCCCCAATCTAGAGTAGGGCCCTATGATTTCTGCGATGTGGAAATTGCGGACGGAATCGTGGAATCCAATCACAAAAATGTATTATATATCGTGGAATTTCACAGAATTTGCCAAATTTTGGATGAATTAATCAAAAGTAGGTTAGTGCACTAAAATCAAACCGCCATATGGACTAGTTTTTGAGAATATTAGGCCGCAAAAATGCTATTTAAATAAAGATCCTGCATGTTCTGCGTGTCTCTGTGACTGTGTGAATGAATGGCACAGACGCACGGCTTCATTTACTACACACACATACTGAAGCGTGTGCACTCGCTGTGTTTTCAGCCTCTGCTGCCTCAATATATGAGTACATGAACACATGAACATAATCTTTAGAACTGCTCTGAGAGTCACTTCATGAGCATTTTACTGTTTCTTTTGAGAAAAACTATGGTCATATACAGTGGTGTGAAAAAGTGTTGGCCCCCTTCCTGATTTCTTATTTTTTTGCATGTTTGTCACACTTTAATGTTTCAGATCATCAAACAAATTTAAATATTAGTCAAAGATAACACAAGTAAACACAACATGCAGTTTTTAAATGAAGGTTTAACAGACTCATTGCAAGTTATCGCAAATGCTTGATTGCAGTTGTTGCTGCTAAGGGTGGCCCAACCATTTATTAGGTTTAGGGGGCAAACACTTTTTTCACACAGGGCCATGTAGTTTTGGGTTTTGTTTTCCCTTAATAATAAAAACCTTCATTTAAAAACTGCATGTTGTGTTCACTTGTGTTATCTTTGACTAATATTTAAATTTGTTTGATGATCTGAAACATTAAAGTGTGACAAACATGCAAAAAAATAAGAAATCAGGAAGGGGGCCAACACTTTTTCACACCACTGTATATGCAATCAGAAACTAAAGGGCTTTACAGCCACCCGTCAAAATAAAAGTTCGGTTTAACTAGAAGAATCTGTGACAGAAATTACTTAAGTAATTGCTTATTGCTTAATGTAATGATAGTGCAAATAATACAATTATTATTAAAATATTGTTTTTCTGGAATATTTACCAGAAAAATTTATGCAAACACTGCAAAGTATTTCTGAAAATATAAATAAAATAATAATTAAGTAATTTTTTATAAAATTGATTGATTATTTAATTAGAGATGCTTTTGATTATTAAAAATGTAATGAAAATGAAATCCAGAAAATTAAATGAAAAAAAAACAACAACAGAATTTGGTACGAATAAAACTGAATTTGAGGGAGGGGGGGAAACGAAAACATATGTCATAAGCCTTAAAAATGTCATTTTTGTTAAATATTTAATAAATTGATGTTAAATTGTTTCATGATTTCAATCAGTTAGACATGCTTTTGATTTTTTTATCACAAATTTTTTTTTTTTTAAATCAAAACCAATTTCATAGGGCCCTACTAGAAAAACTTGCACCCCCACCATGATCTAATTGTCAGTATTGTATAGTAATTAGTGCTGTCAAACCATTAATCACGATTAATTGCATACAAAATAAAAGTTTTTGTTTACATAATATATGTATGTGTACTGTGTATATTTATTATGTATATATAAATACACACACATACAGTATATATTTTGAAAATATTTACATGTATACATTTATATATTTATATTCTTATATTTTATATTATATATAAATATATTTAATATATAAACAACATTTTTCTTAAATATATACATGTATGTGTTTGTATTTATATATACATAATAAATATACACAGTACACACACATATATTATGTAAACAAAAACTTTTATTTTGGGCGATTAATCGCGATTAATCG